TGCTGGACCTCCTGATGGCACCTGGTATTTTTGAAAACTAGTATAAAGACAACAGTCGTGAGAGTCTGACCCACAAATCAAGCAAGTCACCAAGACTGGCAAAGACGGGAGACGTCCGGGATCCATTAGAAGCTTAGCAGCAATTTTGAGCCTGAACATTTACCGAGATCGGCATCCTATCTGAGTGTAGTATTCCTTATGACTTCTTGTCAAGCACTTTATGAAACAGAGAGCTTTTGTACTACTCTAATATCTCCTGAGGAAGATCCAATTTTGAAACGTCGTTATATAATCCGGAGACGATGTTGCACAAAGAGTTTCTTATGATTTATTAATGATGTTGTTGTGCTTTAGATTGTGGTACATAGGAAGCTTTTTCTTTGCAAGTCTTGGTGACTGCTTGATTTGTGGGTCAGACTCTCACAACTGTTGTCTTTATACTTGTTTTCTGACTGGGTTGTGTTTGTCCATATTTACCTGGTATTTCTGGCCACTGTGTGACAAAGTGTTGGGCTGGATGGGCCATTGGCCTGATCCAGCCTTGGCTTCTCTTACGTTCTTATGTTTTTTTGTTAGTTATTAATAACTTTCCTACAGCCTGCTGCCATTTTATTGTTTCAAAAAGAAGAGCAAAATTGCAAGGTAATAACTGAGGGTGCCGGAAGATTTTATCTTCCAGCTGTATCACCGCAAATGCTAAGCAGTTTGTTCCTGGTTTAATTAAGCTTGTATTATATTTTTGTTTTGTCCAAAACAGTTTTGTACACAGCATCAAATTAATATCCTTGTACCTGGTTGCAATTACTTGCACTACCCTCCGCTTAAAATGGAAAACCTTCTGTCATTGTTGAAACGTGGGTGGAATTAAAATGGAAATAGTTTCCAGAATGCCTGAGTAGACAAAGCACGTTTCGCCGTGCGCTTCCCACGACTGTGAAGTTGGTGGTTTACAAATTGTCTTTATTAAAGTTGTTTTTAAAAATAAACTAACAGACCGCTCTGTCTTTGCCTAGAATAATACCCGACGTTTCGGATCTCAAGATAAAGCGAGACAAAATCTCGAAGCAAGATGTGAGCTTCATGAAAAAGGTAACAACATTGTGTACAGGCATATGTAGAGATGTTAGGTGGGCTATTGGGGGCAACAGTTCTAGGCCCAGTCTGCATCTAGCATTCGCTCCGTTGTTTTATTAAACCCACATTGGAAAAGAAAAAGATGCAGCTCAAAACCACGTTCAAATATCCCGGGCTAAATCCGTACAGACTGAAGAGTCAACCCTGAACAGCCATAAAACAGCCATAAATCTATGCAGACGCAGCTCAAGTGGTTAAAACACTGAACTGCAGGCTGTGGAAGGTCAGTAGTTCAGCAGTTCGAGACCCGGGTGCCGCATGATAGAGTGAGCTCCCATCTCTAGTTCCAGCTCCTGCCAACCTAGCAGTTCGAAAGCAAGAAATTGCAAGTAGATAAATAGGTACCACCGGTGGGAAGGTAACAGCGTTCCGTGCGCCTTGGTGTTTAGTCATGCCGGCCACATGACCACGGAAACGTCTTCAGACAGCGCTGGCTCTTCGGCTTTGAAACAGAAATGAGCACTGCAACCCTAGAGTCAGATTCGACTGGCTTTCGAGCAAGGGAACCTTTACCTTTAAACGGAGAGATCAAAGGAAGTGAAACCAGCATGCAGTATGGAGGCTACCATAAAACCCGGCAATCAAAGAAAGTGAAAGTGGCATGCAATGTAGAGGGGAATTTCTGTTCCAACGTGGGTTTGGTAAAACCACGGAGCGAATGCTAGATGCAGCATGGGCCCCAGTGCTTTTTCTTTGTTTCTTTCAGTGCCAAAGCCAGGATCTTGCTGGCTGTATGCGGACTCTGTTCACGCAACCGATACTTTTCTGGCCTTTTCTTTCTACTAGAGCGGGGGCCACCAACCTTTTGTTTGTTTGTTTTTTGGGGCCCCCGTAGGGGATTTTTTTATTTGCATTTTCTAAAAACTACAACGAAATTTAGGGAAGGGTCTACAAACTATGGGAGGAAGTAAAGAAAACCCACTAAAAACCCAAGAGATGGTCATCATACATAATGTTTGTAAAATTAGCTTCTTGCTTAAAGTCCACTTAGAGTTCATTGGATGTGGTCAACCATGTTCTTCATACGAAAGCTGTAAGCTATAACTCCTGCGCATCTGCCTAAATAAAAGCAATTCAAGAAATGGTTAATAATCATTTTAAATAATTCCAGACACAATAAGAACTCAATATCTATCCTTTTTCTTTCTCAACTGATAGCTTGCCACCAACCTTTTTTGAGCCTGCAAGTACTTTTGGAATTCTGACACAGTGCGGTGGGCCCAGCTCCAAAATGGTTGCAGCAGGAGGTGGAGCCGGCCACAAAATGGCTGCTGCAACTTCCCTTCAGTCACGCAGTGCAGATCTTTGTACTTTGGTGGCAGCTGCTACCAAAGAAATGACTTTAAAATCTGGACAGCCAGTCCGTTCTCCAATGGCAACTCGGAAACCTTCCTGGGCAGAAGCCCCACCTGGCCACACCCACTTTCTTGAACTCTTGGTGGGCACCAGGAAAGGTGTCATCGGGTGCCATGGCTTCCATGGGGACCATGTTGGGAACTAGGGATGCCAGCCTCCAGGTGGGACCTGGGGATCTCCTGGAATTACAGTTCATCCCCAGACTGCAGAGATCAGTTCCTCTGCAGAAAATGGATCTCTTGGAGGGTGGGTTTTAAGGCATTGTACCCTACTGAGGTCCCTGCCCTCCCCAGGCTCCATCCCCAAATCTCCAGGAGTTCCCCAACCTGAAGCTGGAAACATAAGAGACGCCAATGTTGGATCAGGCCAAAGGCCCATCCAGTCCAACACTCTGTCACACAGTGTCCAGAAATACCAGGGGCCATCAGGAGGTCCAGCAGTGGGGCCAGGACACTAGAAGCCCTCCCACTGTTGCCCCCCTCCCCCAAGCACCAAGAATACAGTTCATCCCTTGCCCCAGCCTGAGAGTTCCTATCTATACCTTGTGGCTAATAGCCACTGATGGACCACTGCTCCATATGCTTATCTAATTCCCTCTTATAAGAACATAAGAGAAGCCAATGCTGGATCAGGCCAATGGCCCATCCAGTCCAACACTCTGTGTCACACAGTGGCCAGAAATACCAGGTGCCATCAGGAGGTCCACCAGTGGGGCCAGGATACTAGAAGCCCTCCCACTGTTGACCCCCCCAAGCACCAAGAAGGCAGAGCATCACTTGCCCCAGAGCCCCTATCTATACCTTGTGGCTAATAGCCACTGATGGACCTCTGCTCCATATGCTTATCTAATTCCCTCTTGAAGCCATCCATGCTTGTAGCCGCCACCACTTCCTGTGGCAGTGAATTCCAAGTGTTAATCACTCTTTGGGTGAAGAAGTACTTCCTTTTATCCCTTCTAACCCGACCGCTCTGCAATTTCATGGAATGCCCCACGAGTTCTTGTATTGTGAGAAAGGGAGAAAAGTACCTCTTTGTCTACCCCCCCAATCCCCTGCCGGAGAACACGGGGGACCTGGCAACCCTCCTGGGGACCCCTGTACCAAAGTCTTTACAGGCGGAAAATCCATTCCTGATCATCAGGGGATCCTTCAGGGTGGCATCTGAGTAGGGTCACCAGCCCCCAGGTCCCAGTTGGGGTCCCCCTGCTTTTGGGGGCTTCAATCGGCCATTGGCCAGCAGGGGAAACCCCACCCCCAAACAGGTCACACCGTGCCCTGAACACGATGACATCACTTCCAGGTGACGTCATCACACCGGGACGCTTGGGTCTGGGGGCAAACTCTGTGGTTTTGAAGGCAAAAAACAATAGAGTTTTGCCCAAAAACCAGAGCTTTGTGTGTGACATCCCGCCCACCACCAGAATGCTGCCCAAATCCCCCTGCCATGATGGCGAGGGGACCTGGCAACCCTACATCTGAGGCAGCAGGAAAGTCTGCCAAAAAATAAGAAAGAAAAGAAAGAAAGCTCCTTGTGAAGAAGAAGAAGAAGAGATTGGATTTATACCCCGCCCTTCACTACCTGAAGGAGTCTCAGAGCGGCTTACAAACTCCTTCCCCTCCCCCTCCCCACAACAGACACCCTGGGAGGTAGGTGGGGCTGAGAGAGCTCTGGCAGAAATGGCTCTCTTTCAAGGACAGCTCTTGTCAGAACTATGGCTTGCCCAAGGTCATCCAGGAGGTGCAAGTGGAGGAGTGGGGAACCAAACCCGGTTCTCCCAGATTAGAGTCCGCGTACTTAACCACTGCACCAAACTGGCTCTGCATGCACAATTGTGCTGACCTAGTTGCCTTCTATTTTTAAAATGGTCCACAAGTCTGAGATAGATCTCCTGCTTTCTCCTCTTTGTAGCATGGACAGCAATTGTACAGACATGTCTACTTGGGCTGTAAAGAGGAAGACAATGTCCAGAAGAACTTTGAACTGTTGTACACGACTCTGGCCCTCATTACCATTGAACTAGCCAACGAAGAAGTGGTCATTGACCTCATCAGAGTGGCCATAGCATTGCAGGTAAGGACCATCTAGATGAGTTGGTGAACAAAATTCATGTTGCAAAGATTCTGATCTGGCTATCAGAGTTTCATGGAACCGTTGCTCATCTCCAAGTTTACTGTGCATGTTCAGATTTTAATACCTGGTCCGTAATTTTACATCTTGAAAACCTTGCCCTTCATCTTCTTCATTTTTTTAAAAGTTTAACTTGCTTTCCTCCATCAAGGTGGCTTATATCAAAACAGAGTTAAAACCCAGTGTAGAAATTATAAAACTGAGCCAAACTTAAAAAAACATCAGAATTACCCTACCAATACACAGCTCCTCCTTGCACAAGTGAAAACTAGATGGCGTCAGTCTAAACATGCCTTACAAAATAGCACAGTCCCGCATGCCCACAAAAAGGGTGCCTTCTGTACCATTTGTGGTAGCCCCTTGCAGAGTACCAGTGTCTCCACAGAGGAAGCATAGGACCTCACTTGAAGAAATCTGCACTCAAAATATTGCAGAATCACTCAAAATATTGCAATCAATATTTATATTTTAATTTAGTTATTTATTTATTTGGTTTATATCCTGCCCTTCCCACAAGTGGGCCGAGGGTGGCTCACAGCAGTAAATTTAATGCAATCTTAAAATATCTCAACCAGACAATAAATAACAATATTAAATTAATACAATAAAACCAATTTAAAACGTTTAAAGTGGGCAGTGCAGTATATTCAGTTTCAGTTCCCGCATTCGGGAAATGAGTGGGCCAGCGCCGAGCCATAGTTTGGGTCCCTTGATGTATACCTAATGCTCTCCTCAGTCTGGAGGCAGGCATGAACATGAGAACATAAGAGAAGCCATGTGGGTTCAAGCCAGTGGCCCATCCAGTCCAGCAGTCTGTGTCACACAGTGGCCAAACCCCAGGTGCCATCAGGAAGTCCACCAGTGGGGCCAGAACGCCAGAAGCCCTCCCACTGTTGACCCCCCCCCAAGCACCAAGAATACAGAGTATGACTTGCCCCAGCCTGAGAGTTCCATCTATACCTTGTGGCTAGTAGCCACTAATGGACCTCTGCTCCAGTGGATGGTTCCCTATAGCGGCACCCTACAGCAACGCACACCATACTGAGATTCCCCCCCCCCCAGTAGTTTGTCTCTCTGCCTTAGAGATTCCTAAGTACTAGAGAATCTTCACTTTGGTGCATTTCAGTGCGTTTCTGGAAGGCAGGTGTCTTCACATCCAGGGCATTTTTTTGTAGAAAAAGCCCAGCAGGAACTCATTAGCATAATAGGCCACACCCAACAGCAGGAACCCATTAGCATATTAGGCCACACCCCTGACAGCACAGCTCATTCGCATATTAGGCCACACCCCCATGTTACCAGAACTGTGCTCATCCAGCCACACCCACCTTTTGCTTCTTATTCTGTTTACCTACACTACACTTGATCTTAGCCAAAACCCAGGGCTTTTTTGTAGCAGGAACTCCTTTGCAGGTTAGGCCACACGCCCCTAATGCAGCCAATCCTAATGAGTTTCTGATGTTGGGTGTGGCCTATTATGCTAATGAGTTCCTGCTGGGCGTGGCCAACTTGGAAGCCAGCCGGAACTCCGTTCCTGTGCGTTCCTACCCAAAAAGAGCCCTGTCACATCCCTTATTCCCAACGGGTTTACCCTTGTCAAATGGGAAAGGCTGAAACAATTAATGACGTATTATTACACCATCCCTACTGTACGGGTTTGCATTCCCAATATATTATGCCGATTTTAATAAAATCCCCAGAGCAATTCTACACTTCCCTCCTCCTTTCAGACTTCTCTAAAGAAATAATAACGGCATGTGTTGTACGAAACCAGATGGTTAAGTCTTCGAATAACTGACCCCATCTGTTGTGAAACGCGTGGCACTATACATTTCTATGCCACATTGGTTCCACACTGCACTTTGGATCGAGTTCCTTAGACCAAGATTAGGAAGGTACACAATTGAACTACCATTCAGGATACGTGTCCCTGACTTGGGCAGAAGCTGATGTCACATGAAGCCTCCTAAAGCCATGGATATTGAATAAAACACAATTCCTACTTGGGCCTATAGTGATTTCTTATTGTAATATTTCTGCAATGTCTGGAGCCATTGTGTAATTGTTACGCTTGATCACCGAAGAAGGCCACAAGGCCAAAACGCATCTGGTCAGGGCCACATAGGGTCTTTGAGAGTACTGTATGGGTTTAATCTAAACTGAGGCTACGTTAGGGCCTGTAGCTGTTGGTTTTTTTTAAAAAAAAAATTGTAATAAATACTCGTATTTTTGTACAATTGATGTATACTTATATCCTGTATTGATTTATTTAAATATTGGGCCTACTGATTTGCATTAATTTAACCTTCTAGGTTCTTCATTATTCTACACATTTAAGAACATCAGAGAAGCCAATGTTGCATTAGGCCAATGGCCCATCCAGTCCAACCCTCTGTCACACAGTGGCCAAAAATACCAGGTGCCATCAGGAGGTCCACCAGTGGGGCCAGGACACTAGAAGCCCTCCCCTGGGTTTTTTTTTTTATTGTAATAAATTCTTGTATTTTTGTAGAATTGATGTATACTTATAGCCTGTATTGATTTATTTAAATAGTGGGCCTACTGATTTGGATTCATTTAACCTTCTAGGTTCTTCATTATTCTACACATTTAAGAACATCAGAGAAGCCAATGTTGCATCAGGCCAATGGCCCATCCAGTCCAACCCTCTGTCACACAGTGGCCAAAAATACCAGGTGCCATCAGGAGGTCCACCAGTGGGGCCAGGACACTAGAAGCCCTCCCACTGTTGCCCCCCCCCAAGCACCAAGAATACAGAGCATCTCTTGCCCCAGACTGAGAGTTCCTATCTATACCTTGTGGCTAATAGCCACTGATGGACCTCTGCTCCATATGTTTATCCAATTTCCTCTTGAAGCCATCCATGCTTGTAGCCGCCACCACCTCTTGTGGCAGTTAATTCCATGTGTTAATCGCTCTTTGGGTGAAGAAGTACTTCCTTTTATCTGTTCTAACCCGACTGCTCAGCAATTTCATTGAGTGCCCACGAGTTCTTGTATTGTGAGCAGTGCCCAGTATCAGGATCATAAACAGATGACTTGGTTCTCTTTTTATTTTCCATGGAAGGATCTTGCGATCCTTAATGAAGACAACTTGCCAATGTTCCATCGTTGTGGTGTGATGGCGGTGGTGGCGGCGTACCTCAACTTCCTGAGCCAAATGATCGCCGTTCCTGCTTTCTGCCAGCATATCAGTAAGGTACCGCAACCTTTTCAGATACTCGCGTGGGCCAGGGCAGAGCCTGCCACTGTATTTTGGCGAAAACATAACCCAAATGCTTAGGGTGGGGGCATGGGTCGAAGTGATCAAATTTTTGGAGAGGAGACAACTTTTAAAAAATTGTAGGACACCTTTGCACTTCCTGAATTTACCATTCTTTGTGTGTGGGGTTCAACCCGTGCACAGGAGTGCATGTGCGTCCAAAAAAGATTCTTGATCTTATGTGCTTGGACGTTGCGGTGTTTTGTTAATGCAGGTGTGTGCATTAGTAATACAGAGAAGGGTGGAAGGTCCAAGTGAGCAGAAGGAACCAGACTCTGCCATTCCAGAATTAATGTTAGACATTCTCTTAGTTTCACTAGGACAAGTGGAATGCAGCGCAGTAAAGAATTCTGCACCATTACAGGAATGTGACCAGGGAAAACTACTCAGAGCCTTTCTGACAGTGAATCAAAGTTTAAGGGGAAATGATCCTCTTGTCTGAACGAGTTGCTTGCCTATTTCTACATTTGCAAATCTATAGAGCAGGGGTCTCCAAGGTGGTGCCTCTGGGCACCTTAGTGCCTGCCAATGCCTTCCCTGGTGCTCACCAACAATGTTCCCTCTAAGCTGTGGAATCTTGTGAGCAAAAATTCAACTTTGTGAGCAACTGGCATTAAAGTTGTGGGCGAGTGACTTGGCTACTGCATAAATGTTTGCTTTGGAGCCATCCTTCCTGAGCTAAGACAAAAATGTGAGAGCCAGAGGCTAAAAAACTGTGAGCTAGCTCACACTAACTCAGCTTAGAGGGAACATTGGTCAGCACGTCACCCAGAAGTGACGCAGTTGGGTCAGGCGCG